GGCCAGAGCAATGCCATCTAGAGAAACTATGTCATCAGATAAAGAGTCTCTGAGTTGTTTGGGGCCAAGAACAATAACTTCAGTTTTGTCTGAATTTAACATCAGGAAATTGGTGCTCATCCAAATTTTTATGTCTTTAAGGCAGTTATGGAGTTTAATTAATTGATTACTTTCTTCTGGCTTCATCGATAAATACAACTGAGTATCATCCGCATAACAAAGGAAATTTATAGAGTGATTTCTAATGATGTTACCTAAAGGAAGCATATATAGAGTAAATAGGATATGTGTGTTTACTTATTGTAGTGAAGCCTCATTCACACTGTTTCATCCAGTGGTGGTTCTGGTCAACTGTAAAATACCACCACCCCAACCATAGGTTGGTTTTTCAGAAGACTAAAGGCCCTGACACACTAAGCTGAAAGTCAGCCTTTGGTCAATGTTGCGCTGTTGGTGAGCATCTGCCGCCCTAGGCTTTGGTGTCCCATGTTTTTTGCCCTGGTCACACCTTGTCTGCTTTTTATTCAGCCAATTCAGCAGTGTTGAATAGGCCTTGGGAAATGATGTAGGTGTGGACATCTCCAGTCGCCTCTCTGTCAACTCTGCTAAATTTAGGCTCTGATGTCAATTTTGTAAGTCTCTCCTAATGCTGACTTCTAGCTGGCTAGCTTGGTCGAGGTTTTTAAATGTAAATGTCAGTAAACGTTGAGAACAGATGGAGAAGGCTCTGACTGGGCCTGCAGAGGTGACAACAGTCAGCCTTTGTCACCGCTAGTTTTATTTGTTGGTTTGGTGTGTCTGGGCCTTAAGGATACACAAATAACAAACATGCGAACACTCATTCAGTGTTAACATATGTTACATTTATCACTGCCCATTAATAATTACAATTTCCCCCTGTGTGGGGATAAATGTGAGGTGATAAATGTACAAAAATATTCACCATAATTAGCGGGGCCAGAGGGGGCTTCAGGCATAATATTATAGGGGCACTGGCCCCTCCATTGGGAACATCTGGTTTTGTATTCCTGCTCTGACTGTAGGGCTGCAACGATTAGTCGACTAATCGATGACTAATCAACTATTAAAATAAGCAGTGACTATTTTAGTAGTCGACTAATCAGTTTGAGTCATTTTTCCTTGAAAAGAACTATAAAAGTACCTCCAAATACTCTTATTGCAGCTTCCTACGTTCAAATATTGGCAGCTTTACACACTCTCCCATGACGGTCAATTAAAAACCCTTTGGCGTGAGTATGAAACAAGACATTAGATGACATAATTTTTGGGTTTGGTAGAGACAGACTGACATTTTTCAACATTTTAACACATTTTTCTATAAAATGATTAGTCGTCTAATTGAAACAATAATCGACAGATTAGTCGACAATGAAAATAATCATTAGTTGCAGCCCTATCTGACTGGTTTATTTAAAGTCAGTTCTGAATTTTATTGTTTTAATTTTTCTTTTTTTCTTTTTTTTCCTCAGAAAAATGGAGCCTACTCCTTTAAGGGCATACGCTATGCTGCTCCACCTGTTGGTAATCTGCGTTGGGCCCCTCCGGCTGAACCAGTGTGCAATGGTGGGGTAACCAACGCAGGTCGCTTCGGCAACATGTGCCCTCAGGTGCGGCTGATGACAAGCACAGGGAAGGTGATGGGCCAGGAGGACTGCCTCTTCATCAACGTGTGGACACCAACGCTGCAGCCCGAAGCCAAGCTGCCCGTCATGGTCTGGATCCATGGAGGATACTTGCACATGCTCAGTGGAGGAGAGCAGGGCTACTCACCCACAGAGAAGCTCGCCGCTGACACAGGAATGGTATACATCAGCTTCAACTACAGACTCAACGCCTTCGGCTTCATGGCACTGGAGATACTGAGAGAAGGTTCTCCAAAAAACACTTCAGGTCAGTCTGTAATACACACTGTGGGCCAATACATACAGTATAAGTCTATATAAGTACATATACATACAGTATATGTATTTCAGAAGACGAATCTGAGGTTATGAGTTTGATTTAACTGCTTTGCTGAAATCATTGTCAGTAATACTGGAGCCACATAATCTAAATCAGGGGTTAGCAACCCTGGGCATGTGTGCCACCATTTGCACGCCGTAGCTTAACTAATGGCACACCAGCAATATGTAGACTATGCAAGAAAGTTTTTTTTAAATGTTTACAGACAGAACTTTCACACATTCATTATCATTTGTGAAGCCTGTCACAATAACTTGATATATATATGTAAAGCCTACTGCTCGGTTATTCATTGTGTGTGTACTCTGGGCATAGACAGAGTAGCAGACTGCCAGGCTCAGTAAAGGGGAACTTAACTGGTCCTTGTGCTGGGTCTAAAAGTTTGATTTCACTTTCAAACAGCTGGTCTTCTTATCCATTGATCTGATCTGATCAGCTCTGATCAGATTGACTGATCAATTATCCACCCCTCAACTCAGACTCAGCCCCCCCAGGAAGTGTGCTGCCCTTTGAAGCCAATTTCTGCAGTGGCCAAACGGTGGAATTACATCTCCCAAGTCCATTACATGATGCCACAGGGCCCGAAACACTTTTTTTTTTTTTTTTACACATACTTAAAGGGATAGTGCACCCAAAAATGAAAATTCAGCCATTATCTACTCACCCATATGCCGAGGGAGGCCCTGGTGAAGTTTTACAGTCCTCACATCCCTTGCGGAGATCGGCGGGGTGAGCGGCCAGCACACCTAATGGCAGACGGCGCCCCAGACTAACGTCCAAGAACACAAAATTGAATCCACAAAGTATCTCCATACTGCTCATCCATAGTGATCCAAGTGTGCTGCAGCCGCGACATAAAAAGTTGTTTCGAAAAACGTCATATGAACTCTGTTTTTAGCCTCACTGTAGCCTGTAGCTCTGACTGCTTCTCTGTGCTTCGCGCTCACGTGTGCGCACTCAGGGTGATCGGTGATGCACGGTCTCTGAAGAGCAGCAGTCTCGTTAGTACTGATGTCCAGATTCTCAAGTGCAGACATCGCCAATTCCCAGTCTGAGCAGCAAAGACTTTCCTCATCTGTTGGCATTGCTTTGCATTTGAAACAACTACACCACCAGGTTTCCAGTGCTCGACTCCGGTATTCTGTGGCTGGCTGAGGGTTAGGCTCATGAGCTGCGGCGGCTGCTTCGTCCAGTAGCCTGAGTTCCACGTGTATACTCGGGCTCAAACAAATACGGCTCAACAAAGAAATGCTGTTCTTCCTCAATTTCAAAGTCTTCAGACATGTTGGGCTGTACTTTGCTAAAAGACCGTAGTGCAAATTATCTTTTAGCGACTGTGGCTACCGTTGTCTCTCCCTGCGGTGCACGTGTCACGTGATGTAAACACGGGTGAGCATTGAGCAAAGCTCATGCTTTCGCTGGTCTCGCGCAGGCGTGCACACGTGAATGCGGAGCACAGAGAAGCAGTCAGAGCTAACAGAGTTGATATGACGTTTTTCCAAACAACTTTTTATGTCGCGGCTGCAGAACACTTGGATCACTATGGATGAGCATGTTGGAGATACTTTGTGGATTCAATTTTGTGTTCTTGGACGTTAGTCTGGGGCGCCGTATGCCATTAGGTGTGCTATCCGCTCCGCCTGCTGATCTCCGCAAGGGATGTGAGGACTCTAAAACTTCACCAGGGCCTCCCTCGGCATAGGGGTGAGTAGATAATGGCTGAATTTTAATTTTTGGGTGCACTATCCCTTTAAACTGTGAAAGAGACATCTGTCAATTAGTGGATACGTTTTTTTGAGTGTCACAACCCCCACAAAATGATTCGTTTCACTGTCAGGATTTGATTCATTTGGTACAATAACATTTGGAAAGTCCAGAAGAGCTACAAGATTAAATCCTTAAATCACAGAGTTAGGGGAGCACTAAACCAGAAGTAGCTGGCTTGGCTGGCAAAATCTCTACTGCACTTGCTCTATGGCCTCAATGATGTGGAAGCAGAGCTGATTATGCGGGTAACTTTATACAGTGGAACTCAAGCTTTTTTGGCTTTGTGTGCCACTGAGCAACTTTCATAGGAATGAATGGGCCCTTGCCTTCAATGCTGTAACCATGCTCAAACCACTGTCAAGAAAGAAAAGAAATCGTGAAGAGTTGCACACTGCATTCACAGACCCGCAAAAACCTCTGACTTTACAGAGGGGACTCTGGGAATTTTGCAAAGGGACACAAACACACTCATGGAAAGTTTGCAACTTTAGCATTGCAAATGATGAGAATGTGGATGTAAATGACATACCACATTCAGCGGCAAAAGCAAGAAACTGATAGTCGTGACTCTGCTGCTTATTAAAACCAATGCGTCAAACAACAAAAGGTCCTCAATTGAGCATTTTGATATGGCACACTGATTAACAAGACAGTTTGAAAAGTTGCACTTCATATCAAAAAGGTTGCCAACCCCTGATCTAAATAAAACTGTTGAATTAGACTGAAGTAGTATGAACAAACCTCAACAAGCGTCAGCAGCTGATGTGATTGCCTGGGACACCTGTCAGTCAAACTGACATGCTCCCAATCATACCCCTCTCTTTGCTGCAATACCTTGTTAATGCAACAATAATTTAACAAGATCAAGGGGGGTATTAATTTAGAATTTGTGACCCCTTTTAAATCTATAACTGTCAAATGATGGGGTTTTGCAGTGGAAGAAAAACTGTACAGTGGAAAATGCTCCACCTATCTACCTACCTGCCCACCTACACACATCAAAAGAGCCCACCATCAGACTGAGCTGTCACCGAACGCATCCAAAGAACAATGATGAAACACAACATAAACACACCGGTCAAACCACACACAAAACTACAGCAAATTCTGGTACACCCAAAAGACAAGATTGAACAAAACAATAAATGCAACACCATATACGAGATACCATGCCAATCATGCAATAAAACATACATCGGGGAGACAGGGAGGAGCTTCAGCACACATAAAAAAGAACATAAAAAGGAATGCGAGAAGGATACGAAAATAAGACAAACAAGATCAATAAAAGAAAAGGCACAACAAGAAACCTACAAATCAGCCATAACAGATCACTGCAAAAGGGAAAATCATCTTATGGACTGGTACAAGGCCATGCAGGAGTCCTAGGCACTGAGGACAACAAATACTGGCGCTGGATCAGGGAGGCCATTGAAATAAGGAAGCGGGGCCCAGGGACAATGAACAGGGAAGAGGGGGCATACATGCTCTCCCACACCTGGAGCAGCATCCTGGAGAGGCGGCGGATGGACAGCAGGTGGCGTGACCGTCCTGTCAAAAACTGACAGGACGGTCACGCCTCCCTAATATCGGCTGATTTGAACAGCTGATAAAGACGCCTCACAATCACCACCAAGTGACACGTGACAAGTTTCTGCTGAAACATGTCAAGGCATGTAACATCCTAACATGTCTGAGATAAAAGAACAACTAAAGTCATTATCAGAAACTAAAGACATAATGAACACCATTGAACAGTCACCTGCTTGCCTGTGTGGAATTTAACCACAGCTTGAGACTCATTTTCAGGACTCATTGTTCTGTGCCACCAGAGGTCAAATGGGAGTGTTTTCACTATTAATCGTGTGCAGTAACAGTCCTTTAGACAGTCCTTAAATCAAGAAGTGAAATTGTAGTTGTTGTGCGGCTCCAGGAAGGTTGTAATAGCTGACAGTGGCATGCAAAAGTTTGGATGAAGTTAAAGATGACACATTTCTTCAATATTTTTTATTTTTATTACTTTTTTATTTCAATCTTTTACAGTTTCAAAATAACAAAAAAAGGAAAAGGTCCTGAAGCAAAAGTTTGGGCACCCTGCATGGTCAGTACTTAGTAGCACCCCTTTTGGCAAGTATCACAGCTTCTGAACACTTTTTGTATCCAGCCAGTCTTTTAGTTCTTGTTTCGTGAATTTTCACCCATTCTTCCTGCAAAAGTCTGGTAGTTGTGAGATTCTCGGGCTGTCTTGCATGCACTGCTCATTTGAGGTCTATCAACAGATTTTTAATGATGTTTAGGTCGGGGGTGATGGGGGCCAATGGCAAAATGTTCAGCTTGCTTCATTGTCCTGTTGTAGAAGCCATCTTCTCTTCTTCTCATCAAAGTAAAACAGTGCACCACCCCTCTGGAGTCTTTGAAATCTTCCTGCAGGTCTTTTGCAGTCAAGTGGGTTTTGTTTTGCCTTTCTAACAATCCTTCGAGCAGCTCTCTTTGCCATCTTCTTATAGCCTTCTCCTGCTTTGTGGGCATCAATTTTAGTTTCCAGAGTACTAGGCAGCTGTTTAGAGGAGCCAGTGGCTGCTGATTGTTGGGACAAGGTCTCAGGAAATTTATAAAGCTATGAAATTTGCATCCCCTGGCCTTTCCTAATGATGATGATTGTGAACAAGCCAGAGCCCTAACAAGCTAATTATGATCTGAGACCCTGGTAAAGGTTATCTGAGAGCTCAAATGTCTTGGGGTGCCTAAACTTTTGCATGGTGTTTCTTTTGACACTCTAAAATTGTAGAAAACAAAAATAATACATTATTCTTGCTAAAAATGTTGAAAAGCTCAGTTCATCTTATTTAACTGTTTACACTTAAAGAAATTTTGATCAGGGGGCCCAAACTTTTGCATGCCACTGTATATTAGATCATTACAGTTTGTTGTGTCAAATACGTTATAGCTTAATTGATATAGTGGCCAGTGTCTTATTAGCTTTTTACCACTTAACCAAACTATTCAAATATTTATGGTGTTTACATTTTGTTCCAGTCTGATTGAATGCTGAAAAGTCTTTACCTTTCCTTTAAGATGTCCATACTTAATGAATATTAATGTGAGTTGGATAAATGGAGCTAATTTCTGAGGTTCTCTCTTCAATGGTAATGTTTACATCTTTGCACACTGTGGGACACAAATTAGCATGTTGCAACCCAAGCTGTGTAACTGTTACATAATCCAAATACGCCCGCTGTGACCCTGATGTGATATGACCCATTAAATGAGTGAGCCTTGCATGACATGATGGCGTGATGGCAGGGCACACGAGTCCTTTTTCATCTTTCGGGAGCTGCTTCTCGCTCACACTCACATTTCTAGTTGTGAATACTCCTGATTCCACGACCCATTTCCTCGCTCCCTCAGCTTGAAAAGAGTTAAATTTAGTTCAAGCTGCCAGAGCGGCTACAGTGAGATGGTTTTGTTTCTGACGGAGAAAGTGGGACACTGGAAACAAGGCCACATCAAAGCAGGTTTTCGTCGCTAAACGACCCCCCCACTTTACTCCTCCACAGGGAACTATGGCTTCATGGACCAGATTGCAGCTCTGAAGTGGGTCCAGAGGAACATCCACGTGTTTGGAGGAGATCCTGGGAAAGTCACTATAATTGGACAAAGCTCAGGTATGAAAACAATGAAAAAAGCACATGGAATGTGTCAGTAGGTCCTGCTGTGATAAATACGGTTTGTCAAACCTGCTAGAAAAGTTTTGATATTTTCCAACAGCACCAGCAGTGATTAATTCTTAGCAAAGGTTTGCTGTAATCAAAGGGACAATTTCTCATTTTCAAACGCTTTACCTACACTCTGAAATTGGTAGAGCATGTTTCCTTCAGGTGTTGTGATTACAGGCAGTAAAGTTAAAGAGATAGTTTGGATATTTTAAGTGTTATATGAGGTACTTATACATAGTTAGTGTAATACCTACAGTAGATAGCAGTCGGCATTAGTGGTGAAAATCACCAGTTTCATCACAATACAATATTATATTGATTCTTTGGACAACAATACAATATTTGCCAATATTACAAAGTCTGCCAGGATACCATTTTGTTTCAGTGAGATTCAGGGGCCTGTGATCGACATGAGACGATATCATCTGCCTATTTAACACAATCTTTCTTTACTGTTTTTGGCCATTGAAGATAAGTGGAGTAAGTTTAGTTTAACCTCAATCCACTAACACACATATAAAACAGCACCTGGGATCAGTTAACCCACAGGGCTCTCTGCCGGAAAGTCCTTTCTGGAACTGTTTTCATATTAACCCAAACCATCATCTTTTTCATAAAACTTGAGGTCTATCTGGGTTAAAACCCTGAAGGAATTTGAATTTCAGTCGCATGCATGTTTTTTAAAGCAGCTGTGTGGAACTTTACGTTTTCGTTGATTATAGTGCCCCTCTGAATTTCTTATAAACTGAGGACAACTGCCTGCTGTATATTTGTGTTTATGGTCACAGTCACAGATAATTTTGTGGCGTTTGTTGTAGACTAGACAAAAGCGGTTCACATCATTTAACATTACATTTAGCTTGCTTATAACTTCCATGTCGTTATATATTAAAGTGAAACAACGTCTGCTGTTCAACAGTGACATAGAATTTTAAAAATAGATGGCGTAACCTAAAGATGATGATATGGATTGATGTTTTCACTTTGCTTCAATGACATTGGATTGTTGATCATTGAATCTCAGTGATCACTTGGGAGTAGCAGGCTGGAGTACCACCACGGAAGTTAAGACATTTATACCGCCTATGCATAACCTAGGAATCTGTAAAAGAAGGAAGGGTCATAAGAAAACAAAGAGTGTCTGACGTTGATTGATGTTTTTTAACTAAATTTGTTTTCTGTGTTATTGGTCTCCAAACAGATCACGGCTCTGTCTAAAGACCCTGTTTGGTCCAGAATAGCTAACAATATATCATGATACATGACCAAACCATCCTGACCTGTCTGATGATTATAACCAGAACAATTTATTAATGGCTCTGATAAGTATTTGGCTGGCATCAAGATTCTGGTAAATATCCATCAGCCTTGACCATATGCTGTAATGCCTTGCAGTTTGCTGTAGTGAGTTACATTCGTACTGACGTTGGTCATCTTACATTAGTATGTATTATTAACTAGCTGCTAGCACACACAGAAATCATGACCACATCCATGGTCACTTAATCCAACGATTAAGCTTGAAACTGTCACTCACCAGCACCATAGCTCTCTGTCTGTTTGTTTTACACCTTCGCAAGCATTACTTCTTACTAACTAACTAACTAACTCTTACTAACGGTTTGCTGGGTAACAGTAGCTAAACAAAGTGCAAATGCTAGCTTAATTGACCAACAAAGAAATAAGCCCCACATTAGTCCCGTATTTGGTGGAAGCATTTTTATGTCAAATGTGAAACAACACAGATATGATGTCTTATAGTGTTACTTGTCTTTCCCGACCCAATAATAGAAGAAGCACCAAAGCATGGCACCAATGCAAAATTGAAATTCTGAAAGTCCCACTCTTGGCAGCAGTACCAGCTAGCTTGTGACCTTTCTGGGCCTCCAGCTTCCACACAAGATCAGTCTCTCTCTGTTTCAGCTTGTTCACTCTCCCTCCACAAAAGTTCTTTTTCTGTAAACTGTGGTTCATTAAAGGATCCTTTTGTCTCCACAGTGAACAGTATTTTTGTTGTTGCTGTCATAGTCACTCATTATTATTTTATACCTCCATGTCAGCGATAGCTGTAGGAGGCATTATGTTTTTGGGGTGTCCCTCTGTCCATCCATCTGACCGTATGTACATCCTTCTGTCTGTCCCATTCTGATGAACCCAGTATCTTAAAAACAACTTGAGGGAATTTCCTCAAATTTAGCACAAATGTCCATGTGGACTCAACAATCAGCTGATTAAAATTTGGTGGTTGAAGGTCAAAGGTCAAGATCACTGTTACCTTACAAAACTGAAATGGTGACTCTAATCTTGGGCGTCCACCTTGAAACTGCGCTGATTATATATAGATTATATTATATATCTTCTGTACTGTGTGGGTAGGATATGTGTAAAGTATCCCTGTTTTTGCAACTTGATGGGTTCATGGAGGCATATAACTTTGAGGCGGTAATTTTAATCTTGTATTTGTTGTTGCCTTTATAAACTAGTGAAAGTCTGACCCAAACAGCTTCTCTGCAGTGTAATTGCGCTTGTGTGTAGTATTAAGATGGAAGTTCTGCGGTTAAGAAAATACAGCGTCAAAGGAAAGGGCTGTCTGACATCAAGGTATAGAGGTGAAAACATTCTAAATACATAGTACACTCAAACTGATATTGATTTTTTTTAGGTGGCTAAAATACATTTTACTGCTGCCCCTATCCACATTAGTACATTTTTTAGCTTCTGTTCCAGTACTCGTGCCCACTTCTTCAAACTGGGGTGTGTCGACTGCTATCTACTCTCTACACTGAATACCTCAAACAACCCCATTTCAAAAAATCCAAAGTTAGAACCAGACCGTTGAGTTAAACCAACACTCCTGATCTGGTGCTGAAATATTTCACCTGCTCTTATTCTTTGAACTGTGGAAGGTGGGACATCAGTTTGGACCATGATGATGTCTCCGCTGGCAAAGGGTCTCTTCCATATGGCGGTGGACATGAGCGGCTCGTACATCTACAATGCGACACTTGAACAGGCTGAGTCTGACAACTTAGTTTTCCTACAGAAGACGGGCTGCAAAGACCTAACCTGCCTCAGACGTCTCCCTGTCAAACAGGTCCTACAGGTAGGAGACAGACCACATCTCCACTTTCTCCACAGCTGCTCTCAACGTAGCAGTTTTGGTGTAATTAAAGTCATTAAAATTCTAATAGCAGAAAAAATACAGCACAGTACTTATTCTCGTTTTAATATTCCCTTTAATATTTGAGGATTTCATAAAATGTCTGATTCATAGCTCATCATTTCAATATAATGAGACATTTTGATGGATTATAAAGTCACATCCAGGTATTAGAGCACCTGAATGAAAGTTTCTAATTTTACCGTGAGAGTTAATGAAGAAATTGGACACTAAACTTAATGGAAAGTTTTTAATTTTTAACTTTTTTACTGTTAAACTTCAGAAGGTAGAATCTGCAGCTATAACTTAACAAATGTATTCTACACCTTCACTCTGAAACCCCATTAAGATTTATTCAATAAAAGATGCTCTGCAGAGAAGCAAAACTAAAGTCATTTAAAAAAATGAGCTCCCATTCTGCATGTCCCACCATAACCTCGGGATGAATTATGAATAATGTATTTTATGAAATGAAATAACATACGAGCCCAGTCACTAAAAAGAATGACTACTGCACTTTAATAAGCACAGCAGTCATCATACTGTTATTACTGTTATTAGGTTTTTAAAATGTCACATTAAACTTTTCTAGCTGCCACTCAGGTTGATTCTCAGACCTTGAACAGCATGTTTAATTTTTTTGCTTCCTCTTCTTTTTATTTGAATGTTTTTTTATGCCTCTGTGCTGGTAATAGCCGTGGCTGTCTGTCCAGCGGTCCCATTATTGTGAATGGGATATCTTAAAAACACCTTGCTGGAATTTTTTTTCAAATATGACACAAATGTTCATTTGGACTTAACAACAATCTTATCATTTTTGGTGGTCATAGGTCAAAGGTCAAGGTGACTGCAACCTCATCTGTCTCATTTTCGTGAACACATTATCTCAAGGAATTTCTCCAAATTTGGCACAAACATCCACTTTGAGACAAAGATGAAATTATTAGAACCTAGTGGTCAAAGGTCAAGGTCACTGTGAGCTCATTCATCACATTCTCATGGTTGTGGTTTCTCAAGAACACCTTCAGTGTATTTTCTCAAAATTGGCAAAAACGTCCACCTGGACTCAAGAATGAACTGATTAGATTTTGGCGTCAAAGGTCACTGTGACCTCATTGTTTCTGGCCATAACTGGGGGATTCATACAGTATGCTTATAATGACAAAATTTCACACAAATGTCCAGTAGGATAAAATGCTTAAGTGATGACATTCCCAAAAGGTCAAAGGTCAGCTTTAATTTGACATCATAATGTTCTGCAAAAACACATTTCTGGCTTTTATTCAACGTCATATCTCAGGAACAGAAGGGGAGATACAGTATTTGGTCAGATACTAAACTGGTGACTCTAATTTGGGTGTCCCCCTTGAAACTGTGCTGATTGTATAGCTCCTCTGTACAGCCAAGAAGATGTGTTTGAAGCATACACATGTTTTCACAGACATGGATATAAACTGTAAGTGCAACTTGAAGGGTTTGTGTAGGCATACAACTGTGAGGCTTTTGTTTGTTCGTTTGTTTTTTGCAAGATTTGTTTGATATACTGGCCTCTTTTTCTTTATTTGTCCCTAAAATAAGTGAAATTTATGTAATAATTTAGCGTTCTTGATCTTTAATTCTTGATTTAAAGGCAGTACAGTAAACCTACAGTGTCACAATTAATGTATCTACTAACAGGTATTGTGTTTATCAAAGTCTGTTATATTTTCTTCCTCTGTGCCATAGAGCTCCATAGTTGTCCATAAACTATGAAAAAACACATCAGTGAGCCATACTGTCACACTGGGTGACATATGCCTTCACTACCATGAACACACACACTGGTATTTATTTGAACTCAAACCCATATACACGGTCCTGCCGCCACAAATAATCACTAGTGCCCCAAACGTGGATTTAATTTGCCGCTGAGAATAGTCCCCAATATATGCACTATTTTCTCCTGTTGTTTGATAAAAACTACGATGAGCAGCTGTTTCAGTGATTTACGGAACCTTTAAAAAGCTATTATATTTGTGAGTTGTTTTTAAAGATTCACATCTTCATTAGGAACCAAGGGGCTAATTAAGGGTTCACAGACATGATGTTTCTATCTTCAGATCATTAACTTCATTCTGATGAACATTTATAGATCAGTGCAATAAAAAGCTGCAGTCATATGGCTAACTGAAAAGAAAAATAGAAAAACTGAGGCGTTAAAAGATAAAATGAACAAGAGAAAGGTATGTGAAATAAATGAAGTTTTACTAAGGGATGCATGAAAGTAGATTTTTCGCTGATATCCGGTATCCGATATGCCAATATGTAACAACTCATTTGACTGATGACCTATACCGATATCGATATAGCCATTTTTTTCCCCACCTAATTTTAGTGATCATCAAGTCTCTTCTGTAGGGGAATTAACATCATATTATGCATGCATACTCTTATTGTGACAGCCCACCAACAGATGGAAACATGAAATAGAATGCTATTCAGTGTATGTAATATTCATTCATTGTGCAAAATAAGAAAAGACATGTTGGCTGATTCCAATATTTCATTTTAAAACCAATATCAGCCAATACCGACGCTAATATTATCATTAGCATGCTGGTTTTCATTTATTTTATCAACTTATTGGTGGTAAAGGTAAAAAATGAAAAGACTTTGTCGCTTTTTATCAACTTATAGAAAAAGGAAAAGTGTAAAGCTTTTTATTTTTCTCATACTCCATTTTCATTATTTATCTAATAGTATTATTTGTTAATGTAGCCTGTGGCTAACCCCAAACAGCATGAGAAATGCTACATAGTCGTGATTTCAATTTTGACCAGAAATAATCGTGATTATGATTTTTTTCCATAATCAAGCAGTCCTACTCCGCAGTGTGCAACACAGAGAGCAGAGGAGGATTGTAAACGTGCACCGTGTAGAGACAGAAAGGACATGCCGCCCCCCCAATGTAATGGTAGGGGAAACACTGCCGTATGATAAGAAAGGGGCCCGGTGGAAAGTGATCACGGATGCAGTCACGATGTATATTGCAAAAGATATGGTGCCCATATATACCTAGGAAAAGTCAGGGTCTATTCACATGCTGAAAGTTTTGGACCCCAGGTATGTGCTACCAGGCCGTAAATATTTTTCTGAACATTGATTTTAAGCAGGGGGAAAAAAATTGATTTAAATCGTCAGTCGGATTTGTTGTGAAATTTTTTTTTTTTTCCCCCTACTATGTTTATACTGTAACACTAGTGTTGTTTAAGACATGTGGGACAACTCGTTTTTTTTTTTTTTGTTTTGTTTTTTACTGTTTTTTTGTTTGTTACGTTGTATGTTGACGATGCATCCCTAAAGCTCCAAGGTCAAAAAAGGAAAATATTGTAATTTAATAATCAGTCAAAAAAAACAGTCTGGACAAAATACTGTGTGTCTGAACTTCCATGGGTATAAACATCAAATCAGTCAAATTAGCAGCTTTACTTTCTTCTCCCAGCACTTTTTAATCCATAAAATATTCATAACTGCCTTCTAAAAATCAAAACTCTCTCCCCCTCCCAGGCTATCCCGTGGCAGGAGTACCCCTCCTGGGCAGCAGATGAGATGACAGACCTCCCTGTCAAAGGTCGCTTCATCGGCCCGGTTGCGGTGGTGGATGGATATGTTGTCGAAGCTCCACCTTTTGAGGTGTGGGAGAAGAAAGGATACTACAATGACGTTCCTTTTGTCATTGGGACGACAGAGCAGGAGCCTGACTTCAGGTGAGGGTTCATGTGTTTCAGGTTCATCGCTGTCAGCTGTCACTGTTTATTTATTTATTTTATTTATTTAAGTTAGAAGGGACAGTGCACATTAATGAACATTTGCATGTAAATATGCCGGATTATAGCCCCAGGCTAATTTTCATCCGTAGTCCCTTGGCAGGTTGATCTTACAGAGTAGTAAAAACGTTAGAAGAAAGGAAAGGAAGAAAAACATGTGATAGTGAATACATTAGATCACCGAGGACAAAAGGAGAAAAAAATACATACCTTATAAGAGAAAACATAACAACATGGTGTACAAACATCAAAAACCGGGGCCATTGAATTGAATGTCTATCCAGTCCAGTGTATGAAATTGAGTCCAAATAAAGTGCTATGTGCTGTGGTTATTGCATGATGCCCATAATTATGTATTTTATCTAAAGTGCAGATGCTGACATGAATATATAAATGCCAGCAGTCATGAAGTACAATTTGAGTCCATATAAAATACTGTACATTTAAATTATTGCACAATGCCCATGTGGATATTAAAAAAAAAAAAAAAAAAAAAAAAAAGACAATAAACAGTAGCTAATTGAGTCCACATAGAATTCAGTGTCGGAGTTATTGCACAATGCCCATAAAGCACAATTTTCAAGTATTTCCGCTATAAGTGCTAGTGCTGATACATAATTATACAGTCGCGTTTCACAAAGTTCTAAGTGCAGGTGATATTGCACTATGCCCATGAAGTGCTACATGCTGGTATTTAAGTGAAGAATATACTACCTATGATTACATATCTGATTATTTCTGAGCCACATTTTTAAGTGACCCTTGAAAATAGCAAAGCTGGAGCTTTCTCTGATTGAGGGTGGTAAGGTGTTCCATAAAGTGCTTCCTCTGAAAGACAGAGCATTTTGACCAAAGGTGGTACGTCTCAGTGGCACCTCGCAATCACCTCTAACAGTGGTTCTAGTAGTTCGAATTGAGGAGTTATCGATTGTCATTTGTTTAATGTGTTCAGACAGTGGCGGTGATGCAACTGTCTTCTGTCCTCTGTGTTTCCTCTGCAGCCCTCCATTTGCAAACATCTCCATGTGGACCTGGGGGGACTACGAGTGGTTTGTAACAGGTAACAGCTGCTGTGGGTACACTGGTTACTGAATGTAAAATAGTGCTGATGTATGACTTATGTTAAGACACTTTCATTCACACTCACTCAGTCACATAAATGTCTCAATGGTCATATTGCAAATGATGCCAATTTTTGTTGGCTCTGCTCCACTCCTGAGGGTGGTGGTACTGTGGTAGCTCCTTAAGCTGGTAACTACCAAGAATGTCAGAAGAAGAATAACAACAGAAACAACACACTACAAATAGGCTAAAAGGCAAGCTAGCTCCGTTGTGTTTGATAACATTGTTGTTTTTGTTGCCATTTGCGGAGCCTGGGCTGCCTACAGAGACCAGACTTTTTCAGATCATATTCAGAGGACATGTAGCTAGCGGATCGTGAGGAGATGTTTGCTGTATGTGACAAAAAGTTTTCAAGCTTAGGAAGACTTAGAGAGCCTTTAAAGAGAACTGTATTCTTTCATGCACACATGCATGCACACACACATACACATTAAAAAGTATAAAATGTAAGTACATAAAACAGAGCAAAGTGCAGTGTGCTTGCTTTTGAAATAATTTAATACTTATGCAATACTTATGCAATACTTATTGCAGCTACAGGTGACTGAAGTTCAACTCTCCCCCAATATTGTAAATAGGACTTAAAGCATTCATGTTTTCTCGCAGGTGAGTTTTAATTTCTCCATAAATACGATACGATATTAGACCAATCATAGCCCGTCACAGCATTGTACATTGTCGGCTCGGATCATGAATGACAATGAGTGCCATGTGATAATCCATTGTTTCAACTCATGTAGATGACAGCTGTAATTTTAAACTCAGCACTTCCTGTATCCATTTAAAATTAAATGCTCTTAATAATTTCAGTTTAGAGAACTCCTTCATCTTCTAAAAAGGCTTTTATTGTGAAACATTTGCAGGAACTTGTTGTGGAGGATTAAGTGACTGGCATAATTTGCATGCAGTACTTCAAATGTAGCTCCTGCCATCTGGTGGCACTTTTTTGTACATTACTACAAAAACATTTTGGCTGGCACATGGACAGCCACAGTGACTAAAATAACAGTAATAACAATAAAAATTTGACAAAGAAAGATGACCGTGGATGACTGGTAACGGACAAATGTGTCATCCGTTTCATCTGTTGGCCAGGTCATGGCCAGACAAACATCTAATCTGACACAGTGACTGTCGGAACAGACAAAAATGTTGTGTAGTCTGAACCTGGCACTAGTATAAAAAAAATAACTTAAACTGTTTTTTTTCTTCCCGTTTAAATTTTTTTTAGGAACTTAGAAAGTTTATGCAGCTAAAACATGTTGTTTTCATCTGCACAATTAAGATCAGACCTAGAAAATGGATCATCGGGTTCATTTTTTCTCGCTTGCCTCTCAGGGCTTATGTACTGTTCTGTTGTTTGCAGCAGTGGTTGTTTTTGGATGCACAACTATAATTGAGGACATTGGTTGAACATTTCTGTTTATAAAACTAAAATGCTCTCACTAAATATCTTGGACGATGCTAGCTGCCTATGGTTATTAAACATGCTATGTACATTATTTCTGTATGTATCTCCAGTCCTGTCTGTCACTGTCCTGTCGCCTCTGTGCTCCACACAGATAAACTTCAGTCCTTCAATGAGAGTCTCCCCAGAGAGGCATTGGAACTGTATCCGAGCACTGCCCCCTGCCCCACCACAGGCCGCTGTCCAGAGAGGGCCTACACCACCATGGTGTCTGACCTCAGGGTCACCTGTCCATTGAATGACCTGGCCTGGCGGGCTGCAGGTAAACTCATAAAGCACGTAGCTGTCTACATGTAAAACAGATCACTAATTGCTGATGATCGAAGTCAACTCAATGTTTATTTATGTATATAAAAGGGCCCAGACCATGGATATCTTTGGAGGCAATCTCCATTTATTCCTGACAACAGGTGGTAAAAACAAAATCCTCCGTCACACTAGCCTGAGTGTCAGACTGAAGCTCCCAGAGCCTTCAGTCTGACATCACCTCCATTGAAGGCAATTTACAAATGGGAGGGAATTTGATTTTTCCCTAACCAATCAGTAGAGATCAACGACTCACCCAGAATCTGACGTCATTAGTATCCATGCCTCGGGGGTGCCGAAAACAAGCGAGCATTGCCCGTTTAAAATGTCTCCGTCGTCATGCGCGCCCAGCTGCATCGCCGTTAAATCCAGTTTAGCAGCTTCCTTAATTTGGTCCTCCATTAACGCGAGTAGTGGCAAAATACCTCGATAGCATCGTTAATGTGGTCTGTAGGATCTGTAGCGGTCGCCATTGTTGCTATCCCACCGGCGTATAGCTTGACATCAGCGTGGCACTGATTGGCTAATCGCTAGACCCGCCCCCACCCCCGGCATTCATTGGTCCGTCGATCGTTTGGATGAGATAAATCGCAAATTCATTGCAGTATGCCAGACCAGAGATGTAAGCCTACTCAGTTGAGTGGGCGGGGTCTATGGTCTGGAACCAGGCTACCATCACACACAACCATATAAACTCCAGAACCTCTCCCACAGAGCACAACAGCAAAAGGGGAGAGGCAGGGCAGGAGACAACCCTTTATAGACGGGGTACCCCCAAAGGTGAACGTAGGGGTACAGAAACTGGTTATCAAACATTCCCCATATTGTGTATGGAGGCGTAAGCATGTCAGGTAACATCTGAAACAAATTTTGTGGAATTATAATACTTAATATTACAAATGTACATTTAATTTATCACACATATCGCTGCAGTACAATTGACCCTGTTACATATATGTGTGTGTGTGTGTGTGTATGTGTGTGTGTGTGTGTGTGTGTGTGTGTGTGTATGGCCCAATGTCACAAATTTGTCTCAAGGGGACTTACAGTCTGTACAGAAAACCATACCCTCTGTCCTCAGAACCTCAATTCAGATAAGGAAAATAAAAAACAAACATATTAACGGGGAAAAATGGAGGAAACCTCAGGAAGAGCAACACTGGAGGGAGTTCTCACAGGAAAAAGATATTGTGTACCAACGTAATAAAAGTGCAATGTGGTATTTAGAATCTCATGATGAAAAAAAAAAAAAACGAGATTATGAACATATATGAAGAAGATGGACCTAGAGGATGTCAAGCAGCTTCCAGGTGTCTCAAATAGAGCCTGAGCCACACGATCTCTCCTCCACCATGTAACCAGGAAAGGGAACAAACAACACCAACACCCAAGAGGCCAAACTAAGGCACAGCTCTAATATGAAAACCATCAGTGTTCTGGGTCCTATGGAATCGAGACTAGGATAAATAATTTATAATTAATAAATAAATTCAGTCAGATATGAGTCAGATGATTTGTTTCAAACATCAGGAGGTGCCCCACCTTTTCACTGAGTGTTTTTGACCAGAGTAAGGATTGTACAGCAGCTTTAAAGGCGCCCTGTGGAGGCCTCTGGTAAGCAGCCAAAAGTTGTTTTTAAATTCAGTCAGAGGATACGGCCGCTGCTATCTTGTTTTGGAACCAGTCAGTGCAGTTGCAATCTCCACTGTTATCAAGTTCCTTTGAGTTCCTTCCTTGGGACACACAGCTGTCAATCATGACTTCAGTACCACGCCCCCCCAGGGGGTGAACAAGATGTTTTGGCCTCACATTTGGGGTTCTGTCCTCTTGTCATCCAGTTTTGGGCAAGCTAAAATGTAGTGAGCTAAACTACCAGTTACATCACATCAAAATAAAGTTTCACTACATTGAAGCTATCCCCAGAGAAATGTAGCAAGCTAAGCTGTGAGAAAACGGCAAAAGTAGCTTACTACTTTTATTTTTTGACTATATATCAAATCAGCGTTTTCTCAGTGATAAGAAAAACTGTCATCTAACAAATAGACAGGCACAACAATGTTCAGTTGAACAGTTTACTATAAAATAACAGACTTAAATTAAAACTTTCCTCTATTTTTATTTTTATTTTGAAGACTTTGTGACATTTGAATATGTCCTCCAATAACATGACATCATCAGTCAGCCTATCACTCTCTCTCTCCTCCTCATCCACTTACTTAATTCATTTCTCTGTCTTGGCTTCTTTCAGTAGGCTCTCTGGCCCTGTCAGTAATTCAAATACAGAATTCACTCAATAAAACTATAATAAATAAAGTGTTGTTATATAATCAATAAAAAATAAAAAACAGACATAAATTAAAACTTTTTCTTTTTTGGGGGGACATTAGAACATGAACATGTCCTGCAAATAACACGTGACATCGGTGTGTCACTCTCTCCTCTCCTCCTTCTTAATACTGTTCTCTGTCTCTCGCTCTTTTCTCGGCCCTTGTTGTGTCTATTTCTCCAGTGTCCACTGTAGATCCACTAAATATATACAATCTATGGACAAGACACATGAGAAACATGTAAAGAAGTGCCAGTAGCCAATCAGAGGCAGAGAAGGGCAGGTCTTGCCAAGAAAAGCCAATAGAGAAAGCAGCGAGTAGAATAAATTGAAGGATTATTACATGATGTCATATGGAAGTGCTTCCTTTGTATGCTTATCCTCAGTTTGATTATCCTTACTTTTATCCAGACCTCCATTAAAAAAAAAAAAAAAGTCTGCTGCACTTCAGAGCTTTTCCATGGAAAAAGAGCTTGTAACTTTTGTGGACACTACTGCGCTACTCCAGCAACTAATCAGCTTCACTACTGAAAAGCTGTTGACTCACAAAGTAGTGACATTACCGCCACACAACTGAGAAATTTAGTTAAGTTAGTAATGTGGCTACTTGTAGTGATGCTACTGCCCAACACTGCGTGTTATGGACAGTCCATGACTAAAACACATTGTATGTATCCTTGAGCTCTTACGTGTTGAATGCATTTCTTTCCTCATAAACCATTTCCAAAGCTGTTTTTAGTAAGTATTTCTAAGTACAGCATTATTTACATCCATGTTTTCTTTTCTTTGCTGGCACATTGCAGCACATCTTAGTGTGTCACCGCCACCTGTACATCATAGGAATAGTGTGAATGCATGTCCTTGTGTTTATGCACGAGATTAACTAAACTGATAGAAACACAGTGCCACAGTTCTCACACTACAGTGACACTAACATCATGGAGTTATTTGATGCAATTAACAATTTGACAGTTTTTGCAAAATGCATCTTAATGTTTTGACAGCTTTTGATGATTACGATTTAATATTTGCAGTCATCGTGCAGACTTTTCTCTGACATTCTTTCAATTATAGCATATGTGTTCAATAACTGTTCATTAGAAAATACGACAGAGCATGTCCAAATACTGCATGTGTTATGAATAGTCATTTATATTGACTGTAGTTGTCCCTGCAGAGTTTATTAGTCTGACTTAAGCTGGTAGTGTTTTCTAAATTAAATGACCTGCCTCCACGCAGTACATTAGTATATTGGAGCATTAGTATACATTACAAGTTGTTTTATTTGGAATAACAAATCTAGGTCCACTTCTCTCTGATTAGCTGCTGCAGCTCCTGAATGAGTTGCACTGCAGCAGAATTGTGCTTCTTGCAGGTTTTGTGCCTGTGGGGCTTGTTAAGCTCATTCAGTGAAGCTCAGAGTAAACTGACATTTAGCTGTTGTGAGCAGCAACTGCAAGGCATCCTGGGTGATTTTTCTTCATGGTTCATTGGGGTTTTTTTATGTTCCACAGCCTGCTATTTCTGTTGCAGAATAATGGTCGATCTGGACTGATGATGAATAAAGAATAATAAGGCTCATAGCAATGTTATTTTCACCAAAAAGCCTCTCAAACAGCATGAACTTTTTGACTCAAACATTCAACAAAAGCCAAATTCAGCAAAGCCACGTATAAAGGCTGGAGATGTTCTATATATTTCTTAGAATATCTCCTGAAAAGACCAACAGTGAATGTATACACTGACAAGTATTGTGTGTGTATCACAGCCTGTTATATCCTCTTCCTCTCTGCCATAGAGCTCCATTGTTGTCAAAAAACTATTTAAACCACAGCAATGAGATGTTTTAAAAAATTTCCATCCTCAGTAGGGGCCAGTGGGCTTGGAACTTAGAGCCACAGATGACAGGTCAGGAAAAGTTGAGAGACAGACACGTTGTTGATTTATTTATTTATTCACCATTAGAAAGTTCAAGAATATCACAAGATGTATCCGAGCTGCAGGACTTTGCACACCATTTCATCTACTGCAGTATCTGTATGTCTAATTGCCGGCAACAGCCGTGGCAGAAGGCATTATGTTTTTGTGTTGTACATACGTCCATTTTCATGAACGCAGTTTCCCAAGAACACCCTTAGGGAATTTCCTCAAATTTGGCTCAAACGTCCACTTGGACTAAATGATTAATGAAGCAGATTTTGGTGGTCAAAAGTCAAAGTCACCGTGACCTTGTGTCAGTCTCATTCCTGAGAATGGGATATCTCAACATTACTTGAAGGAATTTCCTCAAATTTGGCACAGTCGTCAACATGGACTAAAGGATGAACTGATTTGATTTTGGTGGTCAAGGATCAAGGCAACTGAGACCTCACAAAAAATGTTTTTGGCCAAAACTCAGTAATTCATATGCTAGTTATGACAAAACTTCACACAAATGTCTATTAGAATAAAATGGTGAAGTGAGGACATCTTATATCTAAAAGGTCAAATGTCAGTTTCACTGTGATATAATAATGTTTTGCAAAAACATCATTCAATGCCATAACTCAGAAGAGGAGTCATTTAGTCAGACACTCAATTAGTGACACTAATCCTAATAGTGTTTGTTTTAATGTTCCAGAGTTATTTTGCATCACACTGCCTGTTAAACTAAATGTGATGAACCTCTCTCTGTGTGCAGCGGCCCTCCACAGTCCAGTGTATCGATATGTGGTGACATACACGCCATCAGGACCGGTCAATGTGTCCAACGACCTGCTGCCATTTCCTAGCCGCTTCTCCTTCCACTGTTTGGACAGCATAACTTTCTTTGGGGGGCTGGAGTCTATCCTGGGGAAATCTCTCTCTGATAAAGACAAGAGCTTCCAGGATCTCATCACACAGCACCTTGTCAACTTTGCCAGAACAGGTAACGATGCTTACTGGTGCTGTACATGTGTTAACTTCTGTTTTTCTAGACTAGATGTTGCAAAATAAAGCATATTGAGCATATTTGATGTATGGGAGAGGGTGTATCCACTTACTATAATTATCGCCTTAATCTATGCTAGCTACAATTTTTGTGGCAAGGTAGTTAACTTTTTTAAGTGGGAAGATGTTGCCCTCATTGTTTTTTTTCCAACCTGTGGATTCAGAGGTCTGAATCAAATATGGAAGTAACATTACCACAGACAATATTTTATTATTATGTGAAAAGGTTCTTTTGGATCACACCATGTGTGATATTTTGTGCAGGTCTTGAAAAAAAGCTCCTTCTCTGTCTTACAGGTAAGATGGGGAATGAGTGGCCAGAATACCCAGCAGCCACTGCTCTCCTGTCCGACAGCCTGTCTGCAGTCCAAAACTACTCAGCAGAGCGATGTCAGCTGTGGGAGAAGAACGGCCTATACGCCTACGCCTGGATGAATTGACCACAGACTGAAGGCAGCGTTCATCTGAGCACTCAGTTATACACCGCTACAGTAGGCTTTATTAAAATCACTGCTTTGTTACATTGAGGTGACTTCATTTAGCCAGACATGCCATCTGACTTTTTTTGTTTTTTGTTATGAATGATTAACAACAGCCATATATGCATATAAATATCCCCAGAACTCCATGGACTTCAAGATTTAGTTCACCAAAATGACAAAATAATGTCACTTAGCCTTTAGTGGAGCCAGGTTTTCAGATATCTGTCTTCACTAGAACCGCTTTCCATTGAAGAAAAATAAAACCTTAACTGTCCGTTTGGCTCCATACCACCAGAGCAAAGTGAGAAAATGTTTTAATGCCTCTACACCAGTGATAGCCATAGCCAGAGGCATTACGTTTTAGGGTTGTCTATCTGTCCCATTCTACGCCTTGAGGGGAATTTTTTCAAATTTGGCACCAACATTTCCTTGGACTCAACGATGAACTGATAAGATTTTGGTGGTATAAAGTGAAGATCACTGTGACCTTGTCTGTCTCATTCTTGTTAACTGGATATTTCAACAACACCTTGAGGGATTTTTTGTTTTTTTCAAATATGGCACAAAAGTTCACTTGGACTCAACAAGAACTAATAAGATTTTGATGGTCGAAGGGCGAAGGTCAAGGTCACTGTGACCTTGTCTGTCTCATTCTTGTGAGCACGATATCTCAAGAACACCTTAAGGGAATTTCTTCAAATTTGGCAGAAACATTCACTTGACCTGAAGAATAAACTGATTAGAATTTGGCGGTGGAAAGTTAAAGGTCAATGTCAGTGTGACCTCACAAAACATGTTTCTGGCCATAACGCAAGAATTCTCACACAAATTATGGTAAAACTTCACACAAATGTGAACATCTTTTATCCAAAAGGTCAAAGGTCAACTTCACTGTGACATCATAATGTTCTGCATAAAATACTTTGTTGGCCATTCCTAACATCATATCTCAGGAACAGAAGGGGAGACATTTGGTCAGATTTAGAATTAGTGACAACTTGGGTGTCCACTTTGAAACTGTGCTGATTGTATAGATCCTCTGTGCTGCCGGGGGGGAAGATGTGCGTGAAGCATTTGTGTTGTCACAGACATGGAGGTAAACTGTAGGAGAGACTTGACAGGTGCGCAGAGGCACACAAGCACAGAGTGGTAATTGTAGTTTGTTTTGTCATTTGGGTGAACTGAGCCTTTATTAAGCTGGAAGCCTGGTTGCACAGTGCTGAAGTAACATCAAACTGGGAGTCAGGTGAGAGTGAAGGAGCTTGAAGGAAGCATGTAGACCAAAGTGACTGACAGTGAACTGTACAGTCAAAGATAAAATGATTCTGTGATTGAAAGACTGATATATAGCTATGTTTATGTCAGGTCAGTGTGAAGTGTGAGGAAAGTAACAGCTTCCTGCCAAGGAAAGCTGAAGTTGATTTCTGAAGTCAGAGAAATGATTGAGGTAAGAAGGGAGTGTGAGATATGTATGACTGTTTTTTATTTTGTTTGATTGTTTGTTTAGGTGATTACCTTCGTGTTTTTATAACCTGTGAATATGTCGTTGAGTCATTTTGTTTTATGAACTTGTGAAGTCCTGCTGTTTGATTCATAACCTCAAAGCTCAGCCACTAAGTCTTGGCACTTTTCTGTGAACACGTTTTATTACATTAATATTTGATTGCAGTCACGACTGTGGTTGGTTGAACCAAGTATAACTTTGTATGGTTTGCAGACAGTAATTATACCAAACATGTACTGCAGTATCATGCTCTGTTGTGTTGATGCAGCAGTGACACTATCACTCTTTATATGCTGAATAAATTGATGCCACATGAACTATTTCATTTTCATTTTAAAAAAAGGTAAACATTTGTCTAGTATACTGACTGTAGTGTTCTGTCTCCAGGATTTTATTTTTAACTTTAAGCCAGTCAGATTGAATGTCATTTTGACGGTTGGTTTCATTTTGGATCCAGTTTCAAGTTGGTAAGGAAGTAATTACAAATTAAACAGAAAACAATAAGTTACCATACGCTAGACTTAGACCAAACGTATCTTAAAAACAAGTAAGCACAGTAACAAGAAAAATACATTCACAAAAGTTTAAAGGGACAGTTCACTCCCACATCAAAAATACATATTTTTCTTCTCGCCTGTAGTGCTGTTCATCAATCTAGTTTGTTTTGGTGTGAGTTGCAGTTTGTTGGAGGTATCAGCCAAAGAGATAAATGCCTTCTCTCCAGTACAATGGATCTAGGTGGTACTTGGCTTGTTGTGCTCAAAGCAGGAAAAAAAATTAAAAACTCAACATCAGTGTCTCTTTCCAGTAATCATGACCCGGTTACTCAAGATAATTCACGGACCTTGTCGTCAGCAGTTTCATGTAGGAACTATTTCCTTTCTAATGAGCTACAATCGCCAATGGTATCCCTGCACAGAAAAAAGTGCATCTACTGCTAGCTCACCGAGCTAGCTGAAGTTACAGCTCAGCAGAGGACCTCATTAATGTTAACATCTGTCATGAGCCTCTTGTTCATGATTAGATGCACATTGCCTTCAAAGATGAGAGAAACTTAAATTGTAATTCGTGTAACTTCACAATGTTTCAGTACATTTCTTAGCATGCCAGACTCCATCCTGCTTCTCCTGATCGAGGGCTTACCAACTGACATCTACTATATGTAATAAACTTACTATGGATAAGTAGGCCTACGACATACAGCACGACTTGAAAAAATCCGAACTATTACTTTAAGTAAAAGTTTAATTCACCTTCTGGCTCGGGTGTGAAAGCTGGTTTGTGGAGCGTCATTGCCAGTTCCTGCAGCAACGTATCTCTTCAGCAGATGGCGGCAGAGGAAAGCCTTGATTGTCCGCTGTGTTTCTTCATGAGTGTCGGGGGGGCAGCTGCTCCTCCTGGAGCTCGTGTTTCTTTAAGGCCGGATCTTACAGCTCACACACGGCTGACTGGTGCCACGCTGCGGCGCCTGCTCAGTGCGTCCCCGCCGCTGCTGCTCGGATCCTGGACGAGGGGCTTCTCTGTCTTTACGTCTTCTACACTCTGTATGTGTGTGTGAGACAGAGCGTGAGTGTGTATGTGCTGTCTGATGATATCCTATGGATTGACGGAGGGAGGCTATTGTTGTCAGCCCGGTGGTTTATTCTGCTGGAGCTGCACTTTCACCGGAGAATGCCCAGAGGAACCGGAGCTGTGTTACTGCACGGATAGCGCAGAAATCCACCCGAGAAACACGGTAATCACACTCTTATTTATTCCCATTCTTATGCTCATTTATCCTGCCTTTGTTTATTATTCTCATTAGAATGAAGGCTCTCGCGTGAGGCTGTAGCGCCGTCATCACGGCTAATCCCACCAGAGACTGTGGGTTTGTTTACCATCTGAAAACGATACTTTGAGGTGTCAATAAGCCCCGGATCTCACTTAAATGTCTCTGTACCATCAGCAGACTGATGAGCATCCTTCAGCCATCACCGCTCGGCTGTAGGCTACATGTCCCTGTGATGGGAGCAGCGGAGGCAGCGGCAGCAGTCGGGCCTGCTGCTACAGCTGCTACAGCTGCTGCTGCTGCACAACCATACTGAAGTTGTCTTAATATTTCTAACAACTAAAATCTGATTTACAGCCGCACTAGTGAGCTCAGAACACACACTGCTGCTGCAGCTGCAGGGAGCCCAAGGTCGGCTGTAAAAAATAATTCCTAAATTTGCTTTATATCATTGTTTAAAAGTCAGTAGGAAGCTGATAATTACACGTTTTCTGCAAACAGTAAAAGCATGTCCTATTGAATTAGAAAAAGGCTCCAGTCAATTTTTCCATAAATTTCAGGTATCTTTTATCATGACATTATTGGACATAAAGAAATGAAAAGCTATTTTGTTTTCCTGAATGAAGCATTAGTGAAAATACAGAACTGTTTTTACTTGACACATTTAACTTAAAGCGAACAAAGCTTTATTTGAAAATTCCCTATGCAACAAATGATTATCACATTCATCATCAATAATCAGCACAAAGAAGCCATCATGTTTTCAGGGCACTAGACCATGTCTTCCAACAGTTCATACCCCAAAGATTTTCAGTTTATTATTGTAGAAGACCAACTTAACTAGAACCAGAGAACTGTGTCTCTGCCAGCAACTAATTTAATAATCAACTAATTGTTTTAGGACTACAGAAAATATTAATTATCTTGTCACTGTGGTAAAATACTCCAGATTCCAACCCAGTGTTTTGGATTTTGGTGGTGTGGAGCAAAGAGTGTTCCCTGAAGTCTGTCCAAGTCAAGCTTTAATTCATTCCAGTCATTCAGACAAGTCTCAAGTCTTTCAAAGCCTTGTGAGTGTAAGTCTGTCAGGTCTCTGAATGCTTGCCATGTCAGTGAAACAGCAGAAGTTCTACTTAAAGCTGTCATTTTATTTAAAAGGTCAAATCTCATCAAGGACATGAGTCAAGTCTCTCATCAGTCCAAATCAAGTGGTAACTTAACGAAGTGTTTGATTATTATTTCAAATTTGAGATTTCTTATTTTAAATAGGAGAGAAAATAATCATTTTAAAGGGAAAATGTGTAATTTCTCAAGCTGGACCCTATTTCCATGTGTTCTTGTGTCATAGTGATTGACAGGAACAACAATTTATGCAATTGGTCCAGTATTGAGTGAGAGGGCTGAATCAGTCTGCAGTGTTATCCTGTGGGGCAATAGCACACCGTCGATGTACGTCCACTGAGGGTGCTTGTTTTTGCTGCTGGAACTAGCCTCACGTCACCAGGCTCTTCATGTACGGCGAAAAGCCTGGTTTCCATTCACTCTGAATTTTGTCTGGATTCTGGTTGTGGTCTAGAGAGCTATCTGGAATTCACCAAATTCACCAAAGTAAAAGTGCTCACCAAAGTAAAACTTTAAATTCTGGCACACCATTGATTTCCGTCTCCGGTTTAGTACCATATTGTTGTTGTTGTTGTGGTTGTTGTTGTTGCTGTGGTTGATAGAGCATGCTACATGGCCAGCATCACGCAGTTTTCCTCTCTCTTCCGTCCCCACTGCCCCAAACTTTATCGAAAAAATGCATTTACAAACTACAGGTATGATGTACAAAACTAGGATCAAGTGCCTATTAAATAAAACAGACAACTGAAAGTGACAATAACTTGTAATACAATTAAATACAATAAAAGAAAAAGGTTAACTTAATGGCTTGGGGCTTTTCTTGTAAATTATATTCTTTAAATTAAAAAGTTTCACCGCATTTTTATTAGCTTGTTGCCTTTATTTTGACGGAAAGGCGCAGCCATCGAATTCCCTGTCTCTCTCGCCCTGGTTCCGGTTGCTTACCAAAACAGCCACTAAACGGCCCCAGACTAGCTGGAACAGGAATGTTATGTCAGTTAAACATAACTTTTTTGTTCTTTGAGCATTTACTTCTGTCATATGAACATAAAAATACTGAGTCACATTTTACAACAGTTTTTTTTTTCATGTGATTGAACTATTGAACATACTGTGGCTAATTAAAGTTTAAATTGTTAGAATAAGGTAAGGAGAAGAACTTCCGGAAGTGCATTTTATTTCACCTTTGCACAAATTTATGTTAGACACTAATATTCACACAGGAAGCAGGTCACTAACTGTGTACGACTTAACTCATGGTGCAAAATTCTTTAAGAGCAGACTGTACACTCCTTATGGCTGAACCACCTGGATGGTGAAATGTAACTGACATAAGTACGTGCATTGTGCTTATGCTCTAAGCTAGGCTGCTTCTTGGGTTTTGGTGATGACAGCTGAGCGTGTGCAACTGCAGATGGATACAGTCGGACCAGCACCCGCTGGCTTAAAAGCAAGTGTATAGAAGCATGCTGGCTTCTGTGAAGTCAAAGGGAAAAGGGACCTGTACAAGAACTACACGATATGCAAGCAAATTCATCTGTTTATTTGAATTATGGATTATTACAAATACACTATGCTTTAAAATAAGCAAATAGTTCAGTGAGAAAAATACATCCAAATACATTGATAATCATTAATTGCATCACAGCTGTTTGATTTGTATTCAAATTGTGAGGTGCCAAGAAATTCCAATCTCTGTCAATGGTCTTTTTTACCAAACGTTGTTCCCATCAGTCACTTAGACACAAAAACATGGGAAAATAGGGTCCAGGTTAAAAAGGCAGAAGTTTTCAGTTTCTGCTGATGATGTTACACAATGTTCAATGAACACAGCTGCTGGCACACTCAACGCTTAATATTCCTTTAACAAGACAGTAAGCTTTGATTTAACATGGCATGATTTTTATCAAAAGGTGTAATTTGTGAAAACTAAAGGTATCTGGTGTGCCTCAGCAGCCAAACACTTTACCGCTGTTTTTCCAACCTTAGCAGCTTGAATTCACAGAGGTAAAACAAAGTGACGCATTTCCCACTTTTATCATCCCACCTCTGGCCATAAACCACATGTCTGACTCAAGTCCAAATCCCAAGTCTTCACTTTAGGGACATTTAGTTTTTACATGTGTCCTACCTGTGTGCCGACCAGAGGAAACTCTATCTGTCAGGTACAATTCAGAGCCAGAGTCCGGTTTCTCTGCTCTCCCCCAGTTGGGCCTCCACCCTTCTTACTGGGACTTCTGCCAGAGCTGCTCTGTGATTTAGTGCGCTGACCACATGCAGCCGCTGCCATATGCTTCAGATGACAGCTCATATTTAAAGCTTTTGTAGGCTTCAACCTTTCTACATGAACCTCTGCAGCTGATCTGAGACACTGTTGGATTTGACTTTGTGCTTTTTAACAGATTTCCCAGATGTATGATGCATTAAAATCTTGGCTGACAGAATTTAAATGCAGTATATGAAGTACCTCAAGTATCTGTGTGAATATTTAAAATGTCAAAATCCAATTGTCTGAGGTCCTCAGTGACCCAAAGGCACTGACACTGATGTTTAAAATGATTACAACTTAAAGTGGAAAAGTCTCTGAAATACAGAAGCATGAAGACCGTCATGAGAGTCAAACTCTCTCCAAAAAATGAAATTCTTTCAGTCTTACCAGCTCCAAGATGTAAAGGGACACTCTGGGAATATGACTGCCTTTATAGAAAGAATTATGACAGTAAAACATCATGGATGGAAGGTACAATCTTAGGGAATCTATGTCCCTACCTCACTGGAGATGGACAGTACTGACTAGATTACTGCTGAAACAATCAGACATTTTAACTGTTAAGAACCCCCATCCATTCCAATGGGCATAACTTTTTTAGGATTTCTAGGTACAGTACAGGCCAAAAGTTTGGACACACCTTCTCATTCAATGCGTTTTCTTTATTTTCATGACTATTTACATTGTAGATTCTCACTGAAGGCATCAAAACTATGAATGAACACATGTGGAGTTATGTACTTAACAAAAAAAGGTGAAATAACTGAAAACATGTTTTATATTCTAGTTTCTTCAAAATAGCCACCCTTTGCTCTGATTACTGCTTTGCACACTCTTGGCATTCTCTCCATGAGCTTCAAGAGGTAGTCACCTGAAATGGTTTTCCAACAGTCTTGAAGGAGTTCCCAGAGGTGTTTAGCACTTGTTGGCCCCTTTGCCTTCACTCTGCGGTCCAGCTCACCCCAAACCATCTCGATTGGGTTCAGGTCCGGTGACTGTGGAGGCCAGGTCATCTGCCGCAGCACTCCATCACTCTCCTTCTTGGTCAAATAGCCCTTACACAGCCTGGAGGTGTGTTTGGGGTCATTGTCATGTTGAAAAATAAATGATCGTCCAACTAAACACAAACCGGATGGGATGGCATGTCGCTGCAGGATGCTGTGGTAGCCATGCTGGTTCAGTGTGCCTTCAATTTTGAATAAATCCCCAACAGTGTCACCAGCAAAACACCCCCACACCATCACACCTCCTCCTCCATGCTTCACAGTGGGAACCAGGCATGTGGAATCCATCCGTTCACCTTTTCTGCGTCTCACAAAGACACGGCGGTTGGAACCAAAGATCTCAAATTTGGACTCATCAGACCAAAGCACAGATTTCCACTGGTCTAATGTCCATTCCTTGTGTTTCTTGGCCCAAACAAATCTCTTCTGCTTGTTGCCTCTCCTTAGCAGTGGTTTCCTAGCAGCTATTTGACCATGAAGGCCTGATTGGCGCAGTCTCCTCTTAACAGTTGTTCTAGAGATGGGTCTGCTGCTAGAACTCTGTGTGGCATTCATCTGGTCTGTGATCTGAG